GCTCCTTCCCGGAAGGACGAAGACAACTTCCCGGAGGTCGATTTTAGCAGCCACGGATTTAGCAGCCCTTGCCCGGCTTCCGATAAGCGGCGGGCCCATTTCAAGGAACCTGCACGGAGCAGAACTCAGGGCGACGCATGCCCGAACCCCTCTCATCGCTTCCCCCTGTGTCCATCCAACCGCCTGTTCGTCTTGCCTCCTACCCTCCCTTTTACACAATTCCGACCTAGATCGGAAGCGCATAGTTTGGTGGATGATGTAAATTCCAGGGTCGAGGGGCATAATTAGCGAGGAGGTTGTCAGCTACACCGCCGACTTCGTCATCGAGTTCGACCAGGGGCTAAGGAAGCTAGACAACAAGCGTTCGGGCAAATCCAGAATAATTAGCTAACCTGCCAAGCTTTCTGATGAGATCCTGGGACGTGTTCGCGTGCATAGCATAGCCCTGGACAAAGCTGTTTCGGCGACATATCTCAGTGTAGATAGAGGCCCGCTAGTCAGCCAGAGACGGCCAAAGGAGGGTGCAGCTAGACATCGAGTGGCCATCGACCGCTTCAAGGAGTACCTATTTCTTAACTGCGGATGCAGCTTTTCAGACAGGCGCCATCCCGCAGAGCCTGTGTGAGGCGAAGTTTTCGGCGCCACTACAAACAAGGCACGACGCCTCCGCCAGCTAGCAGGACGCTTTCTCACCAACCTCCTTGCCCTCGAGATAGGTTCCAAGGACCTAGGTATTGTGGCGGTGATGAAGCTGTCAACAGAGTGGTTCAACTTTCTCCCAGCCTGGCATCAGCACTACCCGATAGTCGCCCGAGCTTGCTTCAAGGCCTGGTCCAGGCTTAAAGACGTTGCACCAGCCAGGCGTTGGAGGAACGTCAGAGGACCCATGTCAGCCATCATCGTGTCCATGCTGGACATCAGATGGAAGCCGTTCAAGCCAGTGCACTGGACCAGTCCCGAGGATTTCAACTGGTTGCTAGACATAGTCAGCTTCGGATCGGCAGCAGCAGCTTTTAGTCAATTCGACCAAACTAGTTTGTTAGCAACAGTTCGAAAGAGCATCGAGAGCAACATGTGGTCCGAAGCCTCGAAACAGCACCTCGGGAGCGACCTTAAGTGCGGGTAGTTAGTTTCCGCAAACAGTTCGGCGGGGGTGAGCGGCGTGGGGACCATGCCATGAGAGGAGCCCTGATCACCAACGGTTGCGCGGGGTGGTGGTCGAGGCTGCGGGAAGTTGACGCCTACCCAGACTAGGACCCGGTTTGCCCAAGGTGTCTTGAAGTAGCTGAGACCCTCACCCACAGGGTGCGACTCTGTAGGTGTGAGGACAGTTTGGAAGGTCTCCAAGGTGTTGAGCTTCAGGACCGTGCTCTGAACGATTTAGCTGCCAATCGTAATTACGGTTTCTGGCTCAGAGGCCTCGCCCTTGCCCCCATGGACCAGGGTTCCCGACCCCCCAGAGCCCCACGAGGTCCCTGCCACGGTGCGGGCTCTTTTTTGGATGGCTCCCTCGCAGCTCGTGGAGGCCATACTTGGGTCGAAGGGGACGGTTTTTGGGAGCTTGTACAGTGGGCCGTGGTTTGTCGCTCGTCGCTCATAGTCGTCGTGCGCGCGGACGCGGCTGAAGCCTGTTTTTTTTCCGGGCAGATGATGGCAATCATCTAGGGGAGGTGGAAGGGGGTCGATGACGTCACGTTTCGCGCCGGCGGCGTATGGGAATGCCTAGGAATGACGGAGGACAGGTAGCGCCAGCATGTAGGTGGCGATTTACATTACAACGCTTGTGTGCACCACAGTGCCTGCGTGCATCACAGCGCCTGTGTACATCACACCGCCTATGTACACCACAGCAGCCGCGTGCAACACAGCGTCAGTTTTGTGCCACCGTGCCTGCGGACACAACAGCTCTTGTGCACACCACAGCGCTGTACACCACAATGCCTGCGTGCATTGCAGTGTCTGTGTGCGCACCACGGCGCCTGTGTGCACCACAGCAACCGTGTGCAACACAGCACCACTGTTGTATACAGAATTGTTAGAAGAAATCGTTATGACAAAGAGGAGCGCTTGTGGATTCCACAGAACACAGTATAACATAATCCTTATGGACAACGGAGCGCCGCTTGAATTTACGAGTCCTCCCGAGTCCGCCCGCGTCACCCTAACTCTTCCCATCTGCGTCGAGGAGGCTCCAGGTAAATTGGCCGTCCGAGAAATAAGTGGACCGATTCAATAGACCATTATGCTGTGCGCGCTAGCATGCGCACGTGCGCTGTAGCGCCAACCCGCACGACAGGGGGCAAGGAGGAGGAGGGGGAGGAGGAGGAGGAGGAGGAGGAGGAGGAGGAGGAGGAGGAGGAGGAGGAAGGGGAGGAGGAGGAGGAGGAGGAGGTGGTGGTGGAGGTGGAGGAGGGGGGTGGAGGGAATAACGTCGCATTCGATTATCAGCACTTGCCTGGAGTGGCGTCTAGTTGTCCGCAGCAGATCCTCACGTTCTTCTACCTGTCCTCTGCACGCAGGCGTTGTTGTGTACACCAGCGCTGCGTTGCACGCGGATGTTGTGGTGTATACGCAGGCGCTGTGGTATACACGCGCGCGCGCTGTGCTGCACGCGAGCGTTGTGGCGTACACAGGCGCAGTGGGGCATATCGCCACCTACATGCTGCTCGCGTCGTCGTCGTCGTCGTCATCGTCATCGTCTCTCGTAGCTCGTCGTTCGTCGCGTCGCGCCCGCGGGCGCGGCTGCGGTGCCGGAGCCACACGGCGGGGGGTGGGGGGGCGTTACGTCATACCCCCCCCTCGCCCCCCCTTCCCCCCCCATGACGCCCATCATCGCCGAACATAAAGAAACGTTCTCTAGGTTGACCAGTAGGCGCGAGCCCCTCTGTGGCTTGCAATCAAACGATCAATCTTGCTGAGATGTGAGCCCTGATCGATTGCTTGCAGACCATCGAGCGGCCCTTCAGCTACATATGCGGCAGCGCATCTGTGATGAGAGGGTGGCGCAGGTTAAAGCTCTGACTCAGGCGGCTCCAGATCAAAAGAGCGATGTGGAGAAAACTGTGCGAGCTTGCTAGCCACTGTTTGAATAATATCGAGCTTTTCAAATGTGAGAGCTACCTCTCGAATGAGAGGGCCGCATCTTCAGGAATTCCCCCTTGTCCACGCCGAGGTTAGCAAAGCAGTAGACCGCCTCGCGGGAAGCGATACAGCCAGATGCCAGCTCAGCGCATAGGTTTGCGACCCGATCTTGAAGCCAGACCAGGGGGCGGATGACATACGACTCCGTACCGCTACATTAGGGATGATGGGTGCGAGGGACGGGCCTGCGCGAGCTGTCCCACCCCTTCCCAAGAGTGCAAAAGCTGGTTTAGGAGTCAGACGTTTCAGTCAGTTGTGCGTGGAGTCCCCTCATGCCGCGGGCTTGGTTTCACGCAGCCCGAAGACCATGTTCTGCTCAATCTGCATGCAGAGACCAGCCGCATGGAATTTGGCGACCGGTCTCTGAGTAGCTGCAGGCCCCGTGCGTGCCTGTCTCCACAGTTGGGCACCCTCCCCCCAGACACCCAGCCTCGCATTGGCAGCCATCTCGTCGACTTTCCCCTGCCACATGTGCAGTATCGCGGGCAGGCGAACGGGTGGGCCTGCCATCCGTGCGCCAGCACCGCCACGGGCGGTGTGTGATCGGAGAGTGAGCATCCCGCGGAGGGCGGGTGAGCCTCCTCCTCCTCCTCCTCCTCCTCCTCTTCCTCCTCCCTCCTCCTTCTCCTCCTTCTCCTCCTCCTCCTCCTCCTCTTCCTCCTCCCCGTCCTCCTCCTCCTCCTCCTCCTCCTCCTCCTCCGACCTGGACGACCTGCATCCCCGAGGGCAGGCGGCCAGGTCACCCGGCACAGGCCAAAGCGCTCTCGATGCCGCTCTGAAGACGACGTGGCGCACCAGCCTCGAACTTATATCCCTGTCCCGAAGGTTGACACCAACAGGCGATGCCAATCTTTGGGATGCGCCCTGAGCAACTGAGAGAATCCCTAAGATTGGCATCCCGATGAGGCGATGTCCAGCTTAGGGATAGGGATACGTTCCAGGCTGGTAAGTGGCGCCTCAGTGGGCCCTGGAAACGGCGGGGCCGTCTTTGCACCCCTTTCCGAAGATGTGTCTCTTGAAAGTGACATCTACACAAAAAAACGGCGGCCAGAAAGGGCAAAGACAACGAGTGTGGGGTGGGAGCCGCAGTCGGGCGACGGAACCGACAACACAGCGGCGTCGGAACCGGGGAAAAAACGGTAGACAAGCGGCAAATTTGGAACGGTAGAACAACGGCCCTGTCGTTTCCAGGGCCCGCTAAGGGTAGAGCTAATCAGCTCCAGTAGCTTGGTGACAAGTTCTTCCAGTAGTCGGTGCGTTGCGGATTTCCGAGGCGGGTCCAGTCGTGCCGACGGGAGGGGAGGCTTCGCAGAGTCCGCCCAGAGCTCCAACATCAGAAGTAAAGACATGTGCCATTGCTCCTCGGTCTCAACCATTTTGACGTCAGACAGGCTGAGGTCGACTGGAATAGTAGCGTCAGTAGTCTCCACCTCCTCTTCCTCCCATTTGCACTCCAGCTTTGGCTTCGGCTTCAGGCGTGGAACACATCGAGTCGCATTGGGGCCACCTCGCCCGAGTCGTTTTTTCGATCGCACGGGTGTCTCCCTTTTTCTCTTTCCTCCCCCTCCTTATCCCTCTTCCTCCCTCTCCTCAGCTCCTGCCTCTTCCCTCCTCCTTCTCCTCCCCCTCCTCCTCCTCCTCCTCCTTCTCCACCCCCTCGTCCTCCTCAGATCTTCCTGCCCCCTTCTCCTCCTCAGCTCCTGTCCTGCTCCTCCTACTCGTCCTTCCCCGTCCTCCCTCATTCCCCCCCTCCTCCTTCCCCTCCTCCTCCTCCTCCTGTTCCTCCTCGTCCGCGGAGCAGCCGTCGAGTGCCCAGCGGGAACGGGCCCCGGCCATCGGGGCCCCGGCGGGTCAAGCGCATGTTCCGCTTCAAGTTCCGTGCGGAGCCCCGACCGCGCAGCCCTCAGTCCGCCTTCCCCTGCGGCATGCTTCGGGAGGGGGCGGGCGGACGAGGAGGGAGGGGAAGGGGAGGAGGCAGCGGAGGACGGGGGGAGGAGGAGGAGGAGGAGGAGGAGGAGGAGGAGGAGGAGGAGGAGGAGGAGGAGGAGGAGGAGGAGGAGGAGGAGGAGGAGGAGGAGGAGGAGGAGGAGGAGAGAGGAGGGGGAGGAGGAGGAGGCGGAGGAGGAGGGGCGGGGGGGAGGAGGAGGAGGAGGAGGAGGAGGAGGAGGAGGAGGAGGAGGAGGAGGAGGAGGAGGAGGGGAGGAGGAGGAGGAGGAGGAGGAGGAGGAGGAGGAGGAGGAGGAGGAGGAGGAGGAGGAGGAGGATGGAGGAGGAGGAGGAAGGAGGAGGAGGAGGAGGAGGAGGAGGAGGAGGGAGGAGGAGGAGGAGGAGGAGGAGAGGAGCGAGGAGGAGGAGGAGGAGGAGGAGGAGGAGGAGGAGGAGGAGGAGGAGGAGGAGGAGGAGGAGGAGGAGGAGGCGGAGGAGGAGAGGAGGAGGAGGAGGAGGAGGAGGAGGAGGAGGAGGAGGAGGGCGGGAGGAGGAGGAGGAGGAGGAGGAGGGAGGAGGAGGAGGAGGAGGAGGAGGAGGAGGAGGATGAGGAGGAGGAGGAAGGATGAGGAGGAGTAGGGGGAGAGGAGGAGGAGGAGGAGCAGGAGGAGGAGGAGGGGGAGGAGGAAGACGATGGGGAGGAGGTGGAAAAGGGGGACCTGGCCTCTCAGAGCCTTCCTGACGCGCGTGCGGGGGCCCTCTCTCTTTTCTTTCTTTGCCTGTGTCGTCGGCGTCCTCCGCGAGGGCGACGCGCGACATTCC